AAGTGCTATCCAAGCTGAAACACGAACAATGTCTCTAGAGAGGAAAGAGGGCACAGCATCTGACAAGAAAAGAAAGAAAGCCAGCATAAGAGGAAGAAGTTGTGAGGGAGGAAGCAAGGCCTACATCAAGCAGATTTTGACTCTAACAAGTAGTAGGCATTCGTTGAAGGGTTTTGAGCAGGAAGCTGACAAGATTGGATGTGAATTTTAGAAATACCACTCTGAACTGCAGGATTGAGAGTGTGATGGAGAAAGGGAAATACTGAAGGCAGGGACTTTGGTTTTTAAGAAATATTAGCTATCAGAATCATTGGGAGGGATGAAGAAAGAGAGCCTACCTGAGCTTTCAGGAACAATTCTCAAAAAAAAAAAAAAAAACAGGCCAAGAAAGGATATGCTGCCTCTGGCACGATTAGGAAAATCAGGACTCTGCTCCACAGCTACCAGCTTCAGGCCAGACACCTGGCGAAGCAAAATCTGCTGCAGGAATCCAGGTCAGAGGGGATAGCAGCTGGAACTGAGATTATGACAGTGGGGGTGGAGAGGAGTAAAGGGACATGTGATTTAGCAGGAGGAAGAATTTAAAAAAATGGAGAAGGCAAGGGAGAGTAAAGCATGACTGGAGTGAAGCAACAGGATGGAAAGAATCCATTATTGAAATAGAGTAAACAAAAGGAGAGTTAGAATGGGAAAGCAGATATGGAGTCTTGGATTTAAGAAGTCAGAGATGTGTGAGGTATATCTACATAGCCGTTAGAGTCAGGAGAACTGAAGCCATGGGCAGATATGAGTTAATCCAAGGACAGCACCCAAGTCAGATGGAAGAAGGTGCAGGATGCAATCCTGAGGAACAATACTAACACTTAGGACATGGGCCGAGGAAGATTTAGACCAATAAAGGAGACTGAAAGAGAGGCAGGAAAGACACAAGAAAAAATGGTAAGAATGCAGTATCAGGTAAGTGAAGGAAGCAAAGGTCAATGGTATTAAATACTGCTGAGAGACCAATCAAGATAAGAACTGAGATCTCAAAAAAAAAAAAAAAAAAAAAAATTGCTGTGACCTTTCAATGGCATAGAGAGCAGGACAAGAATACTCACTGACCTACTCTGTTCAACAAAAAACTGGAACTCTTGGCCATCATTATTTTTAAAGAGAAGAAAAGGAAAGGAAAAGAGGAGGCAAGGCAAGGAGAAAAAGAAAACAAGAAGAATAAAGATTGGGAAGAATAAAGATTGGGAAGAATAAAGAATAAGGGAAGAAACAAAACATCTTATTTGTATTTGATATAAATATTCACATAGTATCACAGATAGATTCACAAAGAGTCAGCATATTACTTAGAAGTAATTAGAGTTTTGAAGGTTAACAAACCAGATACTTTAAAAAAATCAATAATATTTCTTTATAACAGCAACACCTAGAAAGAAATCATTCAAAATAGCAACAAATGCCCAAATGGTGTGGCTCAGTTGGTTGAGCTTCAATCATGCCATGCACCAAGAGGTCATTGGTTCAACTCCCATCAGAACACATGCCTGGGTTGCAGGCTCAATCCCTAGTAGGAGTTGTGTAGGAAGCACCCAATCAATGTTTCTATCTCTCTCTCCCTCTCCCTTCCTCTCTCTCTAAAAAAATCAATAAAAAAATATTTAAACAAACAAACAAATCATAAAACAAAATAGCAACAAAAACCTAGGGGTGTTTGTACAGCATGTTGATTACAGTTAATGATATTCCATTGTAGCCCTGGCCGGTTTGGCTCAGCAGTTGGAGTGTTGGCATGCAGACCAAAGAGTAGTCAGTTCAATTCCGGTCAAGGGCCTATACCTCAGTTACAGTTCAGTCCCAGGCCCTGGTTGGGGTCGTGTGGGAGGCAACTGGTTGATGTCTCTCTCTCCCTCTCTCTCTCGCTCGCTCGCTCTTGTTCTCGCGCTCTCTCTCTCTCTCTCCTTCCCATTCTATCTGAAGATAAATGGGGAAAAAAATATCCTCGGGTGAGGATTAACAATAATAATAATAATACTGTATTGTATATTTCAAAGTTGTTACAAAGTAGATCTTAAAATTTCTCATCACAAGAAAAATTCATAACTATGTGTGGGGATAGGTGTTATTTAGACCTATTGTGGTGATCACTTGTTGCAACTTCCACAAATTTCAAATCATTATGTTATACACTTGAAACTAATATCATGTGATATGTCAATTATATCCCAATTTAAAAAAAAAACTTCAGTTCTCCCTAAAGCAATCTATAAATAAAATGCAACCTCATCATCGGTTTTATATCATTACTAGTTAGAAATTCAAACTTATTCCAAATGCATATTAAAGAATAATGGTTTGTGAAAGCTAAATCAGCACTTTAAAAAAGACAAAAAGGAACTTGTTCTGTGAGATAACAAACCATCATGACACTGGCATATAGAAAAAGAGACCAACAGTACAGAATAGAGAGTTCTGAAAACAGATCCAAGTATACATGAGAACCTTCTGTATAACTAAGGCTGCCCCATAAATTAAGGGGGAAAGGACAAACCATCAGTAGGGGAAAAGGGGCTCTATATAGGGAGAAAAAATAAAAATAGATTTCTGGCCCTGGCCGGTTTGGCTCAGCGGTTAAAGCATCGGCCTGCGGTCCTGAGAGACCCGGGTTCGGTTCCCGCTAAGGGCGCGTACCTCGGTTGCAGTTTGTCCCCGGCTCTGGTCAGTCGTGCGGGTGGCAGCCACTCGATGTGTCCCTTTCACATCGATGTTTCTCTCTCTCTGTTCCTCTCTCTCCCTCCCACTCTACCTGAACAAAAAATGGAAAAATGTCCTCGGGTGAGGATTAAAAAAAAAAAAAAAAAAAGATTTCTGCTTAATACTATATACAGAGGTGAATCTCGGGTGAATTAAGGACCTAAATGTGAAAAGTAAAATTATGAAGCTAAATAATTTATGTAGAAAATTATCTCTGTGACTTATGGACAAAAAAAAAAGTTCTTAAACCCAAAAGCACAAAAATTGTGTTTTATTTATGCAAAACATAAAGCAATTAAAAAATTCTCACTGTGCCTGGATGGTGTGGCTCAGTGGACTGAGTGTCTTCCCACGGACTGAGAGGTCTCAGTTCGATTCCCAGTCAGAGCACATGCCCAGGTTATAGACTTAATCCCCAGTGCAGCACATGCAGGAGGCAGCTAATCAATGTTTCTCTCTCAAGTTGATGTTTCTATCTCTCTCACTTCCTCTCTCTAAAATATCAATAATAAAATATTTTTTAAAAAGCTCTCTTTGGCCTTGGCAGGTTTGGCTCAGCGGTTAGAGCGTCGGCCTACGGTCCAGAGAGACCCAGGTTCACTTCCCACTAAGGGCACGTACCTCGGTTGCAGTTTGTCCCCAGCCCTGGTTGGTCGTGCGGGTGACAGCCACTCGATGTGTCCCTTTCACGTGGATGTTTCTCTCTCTCTCTTCATCGCTCTCCCTCCCACTCTATCTGAACAAAAAATGGAAAAATGTCCTCGGGTGAGGATAAGCAAAAACAAAAAAACAACTCTCTTTGTTAAAATATCAAGTTTGTGGTAGATTTTCTATACTTAAAATATTAGAAGAAATCATTATACTTTATAATTATTCTTAAACATAGAGGGTTCATGAGCATGAGGCAAATATACAGTCCCTGAGTTAAAATGGTTTGCTTACGATTTTTCAACTTTATAATGGTGAGAAAGCAATATGCATTCAATAGAAACTATACTTGAAATTTTGAATTTTGATCTTTTCCAGGGCTAGTGATATTAAATTCAATCATCTCTCCTGATGCTGGGCAGGTGCAGTGAGCAGCAGCGCCCAGAGTCAGCCAGGTGATTACAAGGGTCAACAACCCATACTCTACAGTGTTCACTGTGTGACATGATTGTGCCCAACTGAACACATTTAAGCTATGATGTTCAGTAGGTTAGGTGCATTAAATGCATTTCAATTTACTATATTTTCAATTTACATTGGGTTTATCAGGACGTAATCCCACCATAAGCGGAGGAGCATCTGTAATAGGTGGCCTTAATATACATTTAAAAGAAAACACTAAAGTATTGAGTAAGTACTATGAATTTTTGTATACTCCATAAATGCTACCACTTCAATTCTTCATACACTTTTACTATAGTCCACATTAACCTCCAAAATATCTAGGAGTAAAGATAATTAACAAGAAATTTATCGATTATAATCTGCCCCATCCCCCATACTTGGAAGACTTTCAAACTAAAGGAACTAATATTACTCCCCTTAAAATTAGTGCTATATCATAAGTCCTCAGCAAATGGTCCAAAAGAAATAGAATTAAATTAAAAATGCAGGATTTTGAAAGTTGTAATAAACATATTATAGTTATTATAAGCACAACTACATAAAATTAAAATAATGTATACCTCAAATTTAATTGAAATCTTAGGTTTCTCTAAAAACACAGGACTACAATCCAACTGCTTTATTTCACTACTATCAGCTTCCATAAGAGGTAGATCAGGTACCTCAGAATTCAACTATACTAAGAACGGTCTAAAGAAAATAAAAATCAGTAATTGTTTTAAAATGAGATATCTACAAGTTAAGACTTGAGTGTAATAGGTAAGGAAAGACCCAAATTCAGTGCATCATAGACTGGATACTTAAATCTGCATAGATTAGGTAACAAACATATTTTAATACAACATTTATAACTCTCAAATGAAAGATATTTAATTAAAGAATTCACTCATGTTTTCAACTCCCTTTCTTTCATTGTGCTACTCTGAATTTAACTTTCCCTTAGAGCCAATAAAACCTGCTAAAATAAAAAATCATATAATTTATTTAACTTGTTTAATATACTAAAATAGTTCTTGTTCAAGCCATTAAGTACACCCCCCAATCTACCTCCTGTATATTTCAGAAAACTATAAAATCACCACTAAATGGTGTGATATAGTGATCCACAGGTATTCTAAAGGTATTAGATTAATAAAATATACCTTGAACAACAACCTGGCTGCCTGGGACAAAGAACTGCTGTGTGCCATCAGCTGACTGTGCTGCATACTGTACAATTGCAGCACCTGGTGGAGGAGCTCCTGAATTTGTCATTGTTAATGCCTGTAGTCCCTGAACACCATCAGATCCTGGGTTAGAAATCTGGATTGTTCCACCTTGGGCTATAGCAACTTAACAGAAAAAGAAAAGAAATATTAGAGAATTTCAAGCTTCATTTTTAATAATCTCATATTGGAAGAATATATTCTGAGTCTAGGTATTATCAATGCTTCTCATTCTCAACTTACTCTTATTGCTCTATGTTGAATTGATAAGGAGATCCTCTTTCACAGGACAATACTCTGAAAAGGCTCATAAACACTTGAAAATATCTTACACTCAGAACTATGTGAAATACATAGAGCTCATGGAGCTTTCCTCTTCCCTGGCATCCATCCAACTAAATTCTTTAAGAGGAAGTCTGGTGATACAGACAGGGAGAAAGTACAGCTGCTTTTTTTTTTTTATTTTTTCTTTATTGATTTTAAAGAGAAGGAAGGGAGAGGGACAGAGAGATAGAACATTAATGAGAGAGAACATCAACTGCCTGTCTCCTGCATGCCCCCCACTGGGGATCAGGCCTACAACCTGGGCATGTGCCCTGACTGGGAATCAAACTGGCGACCTCTTGGTACATGAGTCATGCTCAACCATTGAGCCATACCAGCCAGGCAAAAGTCCAGCTTCTTGATTTTCTCCAGTCTTTCTGATATTTTTAGATATAAACAGCATTTTTGTAACATGTAAAAAATGGTTGGGCCCTGGCCGGTTTGGCTCAGCGGTTAGAGCGTCAGCCTGCGGTCCGGAGAGACCCGGGTTTGGTTCCCGCTAAGGGCACGTACTTCGGTTGCAGTTTGTCCCCAGCCCTGGTTGGTCGTGCGGGTGGCAGCCACTCGATGTGTCCCTTTCACATCGATGTTTCTCTCTCTCTCCTTCCTCTCTCTCCCTCCCACTCTATCTGTACAAAAAATGGAAAAAAAATATCCTCAGGTGAGGATTAAAAAAAAAAAAAAAAAAAGGTTGGTGCCCTGGCCAGTATGGCTCAGCAGTTAAGAGTATTGGCCTGTGAACTCAAGGGTCGCAGGTTCAATTTCCTGTCAAGGGCACATATCTGGGTTGTAGGTTCAATCCCCAGCCCTAGTCGGGGTGGTTCAGGAGGCAACCAATTGATGTGTGTCTCTCACATCGATGTTTCTCTCTGTCTCCCTCCCTCCCTCCCTCCCTCCCTCCTTCCTTCCTTCCCTCCTTTTATTCTATCCAAAAATCAATGGGAAAATATCCTCAGGTGAGGACTAAAAACAAACAAAAAAATGGTTGGTGAAATGCCACTGAGCATCATAAATACAATGAATTTATATCTTAATTCAGCTCACTCCTTTTCTAATTTATCATCACAAGAAAATAGCTTTTCACAGAACATATATTTTGGTTTTTAAAGCTCAAGTCTATAAAACTGTAGCCTTTACCATTTTGACTATGTCAGGAGAATCCTGAAATAGAAAGTGTTAAGTTGGAAAGGACTTTAAAAGGTAACTATATTGAAACTATTTGTTCTACAATATTTACCTCTATATCAAGAGTCTTGAATAACTAATTCAGCTAATGGAAACAAATAAGAGGAGGATTTCCTCTAACTACTGAGACTTGCTACTCATGTTTAAAAATTAACATATTAACTGAAATTTTCAAAAGAATAATTGATCAAGTGAAATGTTTTTAAATTTCACTTACTAGACAAATAAATATAAATGTCTGAGAGTTTGGTATACTTAAAGATTATGACTTCATGTTTTAGTCTAAACACTAGAGATTAAGTGGAATCAAGGGCTATCCTTTCTTTTGTTTTAAATCACATATAAACTAGCTAACTAGATTTTACAATGAAGATAAAAATAACACATCATCTGCCCGACCAGTATGGCTCAGTGGGTTGAACATCATCCCATGGACTGAGAGGTCCCAGTTCGATTCCCAATCAGGGCACATGCCCAGGTTGCAGGCTCAATCCCCGGTAGGGGGCGTGCAGGAAGTAGCTCATCATCGTTTCTGTCACACATCGATGTATTTCTCTCCTCCCCTCTCTCTATAAAATATCAATAAAAATGTATTTTAAAAAATAACACATCATCAAATTGGGACCTCCCAGTCCATGGGACAGGTGGCCGGGCACATGTTGGGTTTCAGGCTTGAATCCCAGTAAGGGGCATACAAGAGGCAACCGATTGATGTTTCCCTTTCACATCGATGTTTCTCTCTCTCCCGCTCTCTTAAAAAATATAAATAAACACATCATGAGAATAACACAACATTGATAAATCAACGTAAATGCATTGCAGGAATATGTAAAATATACCCTGAACATTTCCAAGTCATTCCCTAACATTTTAACAGTATCTAAACAAAGGACCACTTATGTGATGAAGTGATACTATCAACCTGTCAGAACTATTGGAAAGAGTAACAACAAATCTTTAATTCTTTGCCCTAAGGTTCTAGGGCCTAACACAAAAAGATGGGCTCACATTTTTTTAAGAGTTCAACATAGATACATTCTCTGTGTTTTAGTACACTGACAAGCCACTACTGGAATAGCATTGACAGAAACTGAAGAATCAGTTATAAAATGTCAATAGTGCTGAGGTTGAGAAATTCTGATGTAGTAACATCACTTTACCCAGCTCATCTAGAGCATGATACTCTGTACACATTTTAAAAACAAGATTTCACCATGACTCTCCAAAGATTTCAAGGGTCTCAAGATTCACCCCTTACAAAAAAAGGGCTTGGGAGAGATCTACGTTCTTAAAAAGAGATAATGCTTCTTTAAAACTTCATGGCTAGACATGAATAAATTTTATATTATCATGCATTTGAATGTGTATTTTCAGTTCATAATTAGTTTAATGTCATAGAAATAGTGCTTTAGAAAGAACAAGCATAGGCAGTGTAACCATAATGTATAAAAAACACAAAGCCTAGTGTTAACCTAAATTTTAAAACTTGAAATGAGAGACAACAAGCATTTATTTGGGATCAAAGAATTGTAATTTGGGGAGCACAGTTTCGGGCTGAAAGTCAAATAGTGCCCCAGTTACAGGGTGAAAGAAAAGAGAAAAAGGAAAAATAACTATATGAAAAAGGGGAAAAAATCATATTGGTACTGACAAGCTGAGCTACTATTAGCTACACTTAATTGCTTACTGAATTTTATCTTCAGATAGAAGGTCCACAATCATTAGTCCTTGTGATCAGACTGTTTGGCTGACTCTACAACTGTTTGCAAAACAAAAGTGGTTTGACCCAGTGCAAAATTTCAAGAAACACAATGAGCAAGACAGTTTCTCTGGAATGGCTGCTCCGGCTCCATTTTAAAATGGCTTCATTCCTGTCAGTTTTCATTCTAGCATATAGCAGGCACGCAGTATGATAAATGAATGGTTCATTTCCTTAAGACAGACTTTATGCCTTGGCCGGTTTGGTTCAGCGGTTAGAGCGTCAGCCTGCGGTCCTGAGAGACCTGGGTTCTGTTCTCGCTAAGGGCATGTACCTCGGTTGCAGTTTGTCCCCAGCCCTGGTCGGTTGTGCGGGTGGCAGCCACTCGATGTGTTCCTTTCACATCGATGTTTTTCTCTCTCTCTCTGTTCCTCTCTCTCCCTCCCACTCTACCTGAACAAAAAATGGAAAAATGTCCTCGAGTGAGGATAAAAAAAAAAAGAGAGACTTTATTATAAACAACTTAAGCAACTTGTGGATCTAGAGGAGTTAAATTAAGTTTGGTTTCAAATTCTGATAATAGAACTTAATCTTCAATGCCAATTATTAAGCTTTTGGACTAGTAAAAAATCTAAGGTGAGAGTAGTTACTTCCAAGGACAAAAATCATGAAATAGGTAGATAACAAAAATCCTTGCTTTCTTCTTTTTTATACTTTTTTCTTTTTTTAAGCCTTGCCATCATTTTTTCTAATATTTCCCCATAATTCCAACAAAAACTTACTTGCTTTCACACCGTGAAAAGCTGATATATCAAGAATCTGTTACTCTCCTTGTTTTATTTTCTGGTTAAGTAATTATATAATTAGATGTGAAAAACAAAAGCTAAATACACACACAAGCTGGCTCTAGGGGGGAAGCATTTCTACTGATAAGTCTCATACTTTTTTGCCTAGCTTTTATTTTTCTAAAACAAAAGTACTCTTAATTTTGGCATTATCAAATAACAGAGGACCTTCCTATTTCAAATGTTACTTCTCATTTGACAATAAACAAGATTTCCCAATGACTTCAGGATACTGGAAATAGGCTTTGTGTGCACATATGTGTATTCAAAAGATCTGAGAAAATGTTTTAGGTTACAAAATATTCAAGAACAGTATAATATGTGTTTTCAACAAACACACATAAATTAAATAATAGTAAAACTAAGATGAAATCCACTGAATGAGTTTAGTCAGATCTTTTGTTTAGCTCTTTTGAAAAAAAACTTACAGGAATTTTCTAGCAAGAATTTTGTGTCATCTATTTTCCCTGCCCACTCATCACAAACATTTTTTTTAGTCTGTAGTATTTCCAAACAAATTCCAGACATCACATCTGGCTAATCATTTTTAAATAAAATGTTGGGCCCATAACAAGGCCATTAGTAACAAATGAAAATAAAATACCTTTGTATTTGCCACTAATTTTACTTTGGGGACCTAAGCTTTATTAATGTTTTCTTGTACTGACACATGCAATTGAAGCATAAATGCTTATACGTATACCCACATTGTAGTTAACACTAGTCTATAAAGTTAATTGGGACTCAAGCAGAGGTAAAATTGGTTTTCTATTTTAGACTATATGTATACTTATTTTCCTCTTCTAAATAATCCTTAATAACATTAGTTTCATAAAATATCTGAATTGAATTAAAAATGAACAGCTATATTATATAATCAACTAAATTCTACTCCAATGGCCATTATTAATTGATTCAAGCCTGCTAGTGCGTTGTCTGCTCATAGGGTAGAGGTTAAGCTCTGTTGTTCTAGTTGCTCTGGGAGTTACCTATCTGCCCATTCGCCCTACTTCAAATCTCAGGTGAGTTATACTACATAATTAAGTGGGTCATTCTATATGCACTAGTTGAAT